CTGATCTTCACGCTCTTCCGTTTCGGCGCGTGCGAGTAGTCACCGGGCGCTGATCGCGTCGCTCAGCCAGCCTTCGGGAGCTTCGCGCTGCGCACGCACGTCTCGATCGCGTCGATGAGCGGGCCGTCCGTCTCGTGCGGGCCGCTCAGCACCGCATCCGCGCCGCGGGCTTGGTAGGCGCGGGCGGTCGCCTCGGTCAGCGCGGTCCCGCGCACGATCACGCGCGCCGAAGAGGGCCCCGACCGGACGCGGTCGATGAACTCTTCCGCGCTCACCGCGGGCGTGTGGTGGTTGATGACGACGCAGTCGGGCTTGTCGCTCTCGAGGAGCCGCAACGCCTCGACGCCGTCGCGCGCCACGAGCACCGTGTGGTCCGCCGCGCTGAGCGCGAGGCTCGTGTGCGTGCGTTCGAGGTGGGAATCGTCGATGATGAGGACCGTGGCCATGCCGCGCCTCCTGCTCGATTCGAGCGGCGTTCGTTTCAGGCGTTATCGGCGGCCGCACCGGGCGACTTTGGCGGACTCAGCAAGAAAGGATCCGGCGTGGTCAGATCATTCGACGTGGGCACCCGCGGGAAGGGGCTCTACGAGATTTCGGGCGAGGTGAGCCGGATCGCGGCCGATTCCGGCCTGCAGGAAGGCCTCTGCACGGTCTACATCCGCCACACCAGCGCGAGCCTGGTTATTCAGGAAAACGCGGACCCATCCGTGAGGCGAGACCTCGAGGCGTGGCTCAGCAGGCTTGTCCGCGAGGACGACGCGCTCTACACCCACACCGACGAGGGACCGGACGACATGCCGGCGCACATCAAGTGCGCGCTGACGAGCACCTCGATCGGCATCCCGATCGAGGGCGGCCGCCTCGCGCTGGGGACGTGGCAGGGGGTCTACGTCTGGGAACACCGCACGAGCCCGCACACCCGCCGGATCACGGTGCACGTCGGCGAGTGACGCCTGTCACGCCGGGGACGTGACGTACTCCGGCTCGTTGCCCGGGATCCACTTGATGTTGCAGCCGATGCTCGGGTGCTGCGTCTCGGGCGCCGGGCTCCCTGCGAGCACGCTCTCGATGGCGACGCGCAGGTCCTTGCCGGTCACCGGCACGTCGTTGCCGGGGCGCGAGTCGTCGAGCTGCCCGCGGTAGACGAGCTTCTTGTCGGCGTCGAAAAGGAAGAAGTCCGGCGTGCACGCGGCCCGGTACGCCTTGGCGACGGCCTGCGTCTCGTCGTAGAGATAGGGGAAGGTGTACCCGGCCTCCTCGGCCTCGGCCTTCATTTTTTCCGGCGAGTCGTCCGGGTAGTTCGCGACGTCGTTCGAGGAGATCGCGACGACCGCGAGGCCCTTGCCGGCGTAGTCGCGCCCGAGGGCGGCGAGCTCGTCGCGGATGTGCTTCACGAAGGGGCAGTGGTTGCAGATGAACATTACGAGAAGCGCCCCGGCATCGCCGAAATCATCGAGCGAGACGGTCGCGCCGTCGACGCCTGGAAGGGAAAAGTTCGGCGCTTCGGCGCCGAGTTCGAGCATCATCGTGGACGGTGTGCGGGCCATGGTCTGCCTCCGTGTTCGCGGTCGCTTGGGTTCAGCTCCATGGTAGGGCTCGGTGCGGGCCCTGTTGAAAGGGTGTGGAATTTTCCCCCGGGCGCGCGCGAAATGGTATGCTCCGAACCGGTGCGAAGGATTCGCGCCCGAGAGAGAACGCGCCCCCGAGAAAACGGGGACGCAGCAACCGGCGTTTCACGGTCGAAGGAGTGACCAATGAACGGGCCAATCACCACCGATCAGAACGGTTCACGCGCCACACGGATCCGCGAACGGATCCGGGAGATCCTGTCGCGCGACCTCGACCCCAACGAGCGTCTCATGATTGTCCTCCGCTTCGCGGAACGCATGACGTTCTGCGAGATCGGCATCGTCCTGGGCATGACCGGCGAGCAGGTCGAGGCGAAGATCGAATCGCTCCTCGGCCGCCTCCGCGCCGCGGCCTGAACGCGGAGCAACCGCCGCCCGTTTGCAAACCGACCCCGCCGCGGCGAGGGTATGGGCATGACAGATCACGCGGTAAAGCTCACGGTGTTCGCGGGGTACGTCCTGATCCTCTGGATCATCGGGGCGGTCGCCTCCAAACGGATGAAGGACGTCCGCGACTACTTCGCGGGCGGCAAAAAGCTCGGCTTCCTCTCGGTCGCCTTCTCCTCGCGCGCCACGGGCGAATCCGCCTGGCTCCTGCTCGGGCTCACGGGCACCGCCGCGTTCGTCGGCTTCAAAGCCTTCTGGATCGTGCTCGGGGAGATCATCGGCGTCGGCCTCGCCTGGCTCTTCATGGTCAAGCGGTTCCACCGGCTGACCAACCGCTACGACTCCATCACCATCCCGGACTACCTCGAGTCCCGCTTCAAGGACAACTCCCACGCCCTCCGCCTCATCGCGGTGGTGCCCCTCGTCATCTTCGTGACGATCTACGTCTCGGCGCAGATCCTCGCGACCGGCAAGGGCTTCGAGGACTTCCTCGGGTGGAACTACTACGTCGGCGCCCTCGTCGGCTTCGGCGTCGTGCTCGTGTACATCTTCTCCGGCGGGTTCGTCGCCGTGGTGTGGTCGGACGTCTTCCAGGGCACGCTCATGCTCCTGGGCCTGCTCGCCCTGCCCATCGCCGGTCTCGTCCACCTGGGCGGCTGGGGCGGGATGATGGAGACCCTCCGCGGGATCGACCCCAACCTCGTTTCGTTCACGGGCGGCGACACGAGCGCCGTGGGCATCGCGTCCATCCTCGGCTTCGCCTTCATCGGCCTCGGCTTCCTTGGCTCGCCCCAGGTCTTCGTGCGCTTCCTTGCGCTCAAAGACGAGAAAGAGATCACCAAGGGCACCGCCGTTGCGATCTCCTGGACCGTCCTCGCGCTCACCGGCGCGGTCGTCGCGGGCCTCGTGGGGCGCGCCATCCTCGACAACACCGAGCTCACCCAGGGCTGGGTCACCGCGGGCGACTGGGAGGGCGTGCTCCCGACGACGACGGACCACATCTTCCCCCTCCTCGTCGCGGGGCTCTACGTCGCGATCGTCCTCAGCGCGATCATGTCCACGATCGATTCGCTCCTCGTCGTCGCCGGCTCCGCAGCGGTGCGCGACTACTACCAGAAAACCCTCCACCCCAACCTCGCGGACAACAAGCTCGTGCTGATGAGCCGCGTGATGACGATCGTGCTCGCGTGCTTCGCGCTCTCGATCGCTCTTTCGGTGGCGTATTTCAACGAGAAACAGGAGATCTTCTGGTTCGTCATCTTCGGCTGGTCCGGCATCGCCGCGACGTTCTGCCCGACGATGATCCTCTCGCTCTTCTGGAAGGGCATCACCGCGCGAGGCGCCAAGGCCGCGATGCTCTCGGGGTTCTGCACCGTGCCCATCATCAAGTTCGTCGTCATGGGCGACGAGGGCATCGGCGAGCTCGCCACGAACATCGACGTCCTCGGCCCCGCCTTCCTCGTCTCGCTCATCGTCGGCATCGTCGTGAGCCTGACGGACCCCAAGGGCAAGGCCAGGCTCACCGAGGTGGAGAGCGATCTCAACTACGCCACCCGCGGGCCCGGAAAGTCTTCCTAATCGCGCACGATCCGGGGGTATGATCCGACGATGAGCCGGACCGCCGCTTCGATCGTTGCGTGTGCACTCGGCGCGGCGCTGCTCGCCGTGTCGTTTCGCGCGTTCCGGCGCGCGATCGCGTGCGGCGGCGAGGTCGAGTCGCGCTTCACCCGCATCCACGGCCCGCTCGCCGCGACGCTCCTGCTCGCGAGCGCCGCGTGGGCCTGGCTCTGGCGAGGCGGGGCGGACGGCGGCGCTTGGGCGTTCACCATCACCGACGCGACCATCGCGTTGGCCCTCGCGTTCGGCCTCTCGGTCCTCTTCGGCCGCGACGGCCGCATCGGGACGGGCCCGGTGGTCGCCTTCTGGGCGAGCGCCGTCCTCGCGGTGCTCGTCGCGGGGGGCCAGCGGGTGACCATGATCGAGGGTCAGGCCCTCTTCCTCGCGGGCCTCGTGCTCGTCTGGTCCGGCCTGCCCCGGATGGAACGCCGGCCCTCGACCGCGAAACCGCCGCGATTCAGCGCCGCGATGATGCACGCCCTGGCCCTCGCCACGGGCATCGCCGCGGCGCACGTGCCCGGTGTTCCGGCGCACGTGGGGCTGATCGCCCTCGCCGCGTCGATCCTCGCGTCCCCCGCGCTGCTCGGGGCGGCGCACGGGCTCGGCGCGTCCGTCTGGTTCGGCGGTGTGGCGCTGCTCATCGGCGCCGGGTCGGTGCCGCTCGCGAACACCCTGAGCATCGGCATCCCCGAAGCGCTCGCCATGCGCGCCATGGGCAGCCCGTGGTGGCTCTCGCACCTCCGCGAGGCGTTCGCGCTGAACATCTACACCGGCGGCTCGGTCACCATCCTCCCCGACGCCTTCGCGATGGTCGTCCTCTCCATCGTCGCGATGTTCGCCCTGGTCTCGGCCGGCGACGACGGGCGGGGCGTCCGCGGGCTCACCTGGAAGGCCGTCGGGATCACCCTGTTCGGGCTCGGGGTCGCCTACGCCGGCGTCCGTCTGGGCGTCGCCTGATTCTGGAGCGGGCGTCTCGAAGTGGGCGATATGATGGTGGTCCGCCCGCGCCGGTTGGCGTCGTGCGGACACGGATGTCCGCCCGTCTTTTTGCCGCGACCGCGGCGTGGGAGCACTGAGAGGCCATGGTGTCAACGAGTTCGACCCGTCCGAAGAGAGAAGCCCTGCCCGCCACGCGTCGCTCCCTGACGCACAAATTCACCGTCGCCGGGCAGGAGGGGTACCTGACCATCGGCCTCCACGAGGACGGCCGCCCGGGCGAGCTCTTCCTCAAGATGTCCAAAGCAGGCTCAACGATGTCCGGCATGTGCCAGGGCTTCTGCCGGGCCTTCAGCCTCGCGCTGCAGTACGGCCTGACGGTCGACGAGGCGGTCGTCCGCTTCAAGGGCATGCGGTTCGAGCCGATGGGCGCGACCTCCAACCCCGACATCCCCGAGGCCTCGAGCATCATCGACTACATCGCGCGGTACATCGAGATCCAATTCGGGTCCGAGCGCCACAGCGACTGACCGGGCCTCACCCCGACGACATCTTCGCGAACCGGGCGTTCACAGCAAGGCACGCCGGGAGGTCGAGTGTCTCCGCCGGGGGCGATGACGCGGCCTTTGTGCGCGCCGAGGGCTTCGGCGGCGCGACGACGCTCCGCGAGGCCGCCCCCGCGATCCGCAGCGCCCGATCCGCGGGCTGGAACGAAAAAGCCAGCGCGACCGTCCGCGAGCCCTCGGGGTGGTGCTTGGTGAACTCGTCCTCGATGCGCGCGATCGCGTCGCGGAGGGCCCGCTCGTTCTCGCGGTCCGCCTCCGGGAGGCAGTTCGCGAGCAGCGCCCGGGCCTCGTCCAGCAGCGGGCCCAGGTCGCGCCGGAGGGCGATGAGGTCCTCGCCCACCGCCGTCCTGGGAACGGGCAGCGAGAGCCGCAGGAAGGGCTTCGCCGCCCGTCGCTCGGCCGCCGCGACACGCGAACCGCTCTCGGACCGGAACGCCGGGAGCCGGTGGCGCGCCGCGAACCGGTCGATCGCGGCGTTCACGGTCACGACGAAGCTGGGCGAGACGCCCCCGAGGAGCAGGTCCCGCGCGATGCCGCTCAGGTAGGCGTCCGTGGACTCGAAAACCGAGGGGTCGACAAGCCGGCGCAGGGCTTCGAGCGCCGGATCCGCCAGCACGCGGGCGTTCACGGCCCTCGCGTCGTCAAGAATCGCGGCGTGCGGTCCGGATTCGCTCATCGGCCCGGGGATGAGCACGCCCTCGTGCCAGAGCGGGCTGAGCCACCGGGAGGACTCGATGTACCGCAGGAAGGCCGGGTGCTTCTCAACGGCGGTGCGCACGGCCTCGGGCGATGCCCCTTCGAGCGGCGCGGGGAGAAGGGTCACGATCCGGTCCGCGAGCAGCGCGCCCGCGAGGAGTGCGGGGGATTCGCGGGTCAAGTCGTAGGGGCTGATGGCGATGATCACGGGAGGTGCAGTGTGCCGGAAGTTGGGGAGGTCTGTTGTTCTGCGCAGGTGAGCGGGTATTGTACGGGTATGGAGACCGGCCGACACCAGCGCCTGAAGGAGTGCGCGATCCAGTTCCTCGCCCGCATCGGTGCCGTGGTGATCGGGCGCGAGGTGCGCTGCCCGATCTCGCGGTACGTCGTGGACGTGGCGTCGTACATCGATCGCGTGGCGCCGGAGGCGGACCCGCAGATCCGGGCGGCGTCGGGGACGCTCTGGAACGGGGAAACACCATCGGACCGCCCCCGCACGGTGCCGGCGCGGACGGTGTTCGTCGAGTGCAAGCAGAGCCGGGCGGATTTCCTTCGTGACTGTGCCGACCACGGGTCTCTCCTGGACGAGCGGAATGCCCTGCTCGAGACGCGGGGGCGAATCGAGCTGGAAGTCGTCCAGCGCCGTGAGCCGGAGCTGCGCCGGTCGGGGACGTTCCTCTTCGACGAGATGGAAGACTGGGCGTACGAGGCGAGCCG